ATACAGCAAAAACAAAGAAATGCCAGACAAATTTCCTTGATTTTTACTTTTTTTTTTTTTAATGTATTAAAACGAGTATCATATGATCTTAAAAATATTTTAGACTTTGGAAGGCCTTTTGACTTTTGCCGTTTATCTAAGATGATTTTGGAAGCTTTTTTAACATTCGTTTCTTATTTATTTGGTTCCACCGTGTTTGCTGATTTTCAGTGTTTTATATTTAAACTGTGCAAGTTATTTGTTATTTTATATTAGACCTATAGCATGGTGTATTTGTATTCATTTTGTTAATAAATTAAACATTCTATGTTTAATGTAAGTGAGTTTGTCGTACTGTTTTGTTGTTGTCAATTCAATCGACGCCGAAATGCCGCTAGTTTGAAAGTGAAAGTAAAATGCGCACAAGCATTTACAAGCTATTTAAAAGCGAGGAAAACAGGGAAAACTCTAACGAACTACCTCAACGTCACAACCTGGAGTACATTATATTTCACACACTTTAAGCTCTTTTTTTCCCAAATGTAATAGGATTACTACAACGAATCGTTCGGTTTGTAATGCGTACCGAACCGAAAGCCTCGTACCGAACGGTTCAATACGAATACGTGTATCGTTACACCACTAGTATTTACAGTAACTTTTAATCAATTAAATGTTTTATTTCAAAAAATAAATTTTACAGACCCCAAACTTTTGAACGGTAGTGTACATTTTAAAATAAATTAGTAAGAAAATATTTTCATGCATATATATATATATATATATATATATATATATATATATATATACTGGAAAACAAGACAAAATATTGATTGCAAAAAAGACTTTTGCAGTGCTTGCTTTTCCTGGACTGTTCTAACTGCAGACAAAACTCTGCACGTTGCACTTAGTTCATACTAGAGATGCTTGCATTTGCTGCCTACAATCAGTCATTAGAAGAGACCATTTGTATGGTACGTAGATGCTTGTTTCTCACATCCTGATTCTCCACATTGGCAGTTTGGGATGGGGAGCGGATCCAAAGCCTCCTTCACTCCTTTTGTGGATCCACGAGTGTATCAGACCTCCCCCACAGAGGACGACGAGGACAACCCTGCCTTAGGTGACTAATTTACCTCTTATCCCCCTTGTCCATTGAAATAGAGCCGGTGCCTTTTTCCTCAGTGGAAATGCTCAGAGTGGGGCCAGATTGGACACTGACTTTGGCATTGACACTTTGTTGGTGGAAAAGGGTGCTGCTAACATTTAGCCTGCTTGATATGATGATGTACTGAAAAGAATGATTTTGACTTTTTGTTTGGTCATGCTGCCCATTTTGCAGATGAACACCTACGGCAGGAGCAGGAACAGGAACAAGCTCGACTAAATGAGGCTAGGAAAATATCTGTTGTGAATGTCAATCCCACCAATATCCGGCCACACAGCGACACACCAGAAATCCGCAAGTACAAGAAGCGCTTCAACTCTGAGATCCTGTGTGCGGCACTATGGGGTGAGTCTAAATTCAAGCTGGTTTACAGACCTTTTTCCGACTTTGTACTCAACAGCTGTTAGAATATTCCTAAATGAAAGTAGCATAAATGCCTTCATATCACTTCAGATCCATATTATAATCTACAAATCGTTTTTACATTGTTTGTTTGCCGTAGGAGTGAATCTGTTGGTAGGAACAGAAAATGGACTCATGCTACTAGATCGCAGTGGTCAGGGCAAAGTCTACAATCTGATCAACCGCAGGCGCTTTCAGCAGATGGAAGTTCTGGAGGGACTCAATGTCCTGGTCACCATATCAGGTGAGTTCATCATCAGCTCTCTAGTTGTCTGTACAAAGATCTGTTTTATGTTGTTAGATTTGTGTATTATCTGTTTGTAACGAGTGGTTCATGCGTCCTCTTCTTTTATGCAGGCAAAAAGAATAAACTGAGGGTCTACTATCTGTCATGGCTTAGAAACAGGATACTTCACAATGACCCTGAGGTAGAAAAAAAACAAGGGTGGATTACAGTTGGTGACCTGGAGGGTTGTGTCCATTATAAAGTCGGTATGTCCTTTGGTCTATTTGGCCAAATAATTGTTTTAATGCCTAATTAACTACAGACAAAATATCAAAATATATAGTGACTAATGGGTTTCATTTACTTATTAATAAAGTAAAAAAAATTGTAAACAGTTGAATATCAAATAAATGTCATATATAACCATATCTGTACAATGTATGTATATCTATTTTACTTATTTTTTTATATTTTAATTATATATAACATATATCTATATTTATTTAGAGCGAGATACCGAGAATGTGGTTTCTTAAATACTAATAATATTTTTACCTGTATTTGTTATTTAACAGTCAAATATGAGAGGATTAAGTTCTTGGTGATTGCATTGAAGAATTCAGTGGAGATTTATGCCTGGGCTCCCAAACCCTACCACAAATTCATGGCTTTCAAGGTGAGACAGATATTTGGTCCAGGGAGACCCCCTTTAAAAAAAAAGAGCATTTGTGTGTTCATTTTAAATAAACTGTATTACTTCATGAGAAAATAGACCTTAGAACTCAACTTGGCAGGGCAGAGCACAAAATGTGCAAATTAAGTAGCTATTTTGGTACTTGTGACTAGTGCTGTGAGTGTGTCAGAGAACACCTGCACAGAGCATATTTCTTTGGGAATATATCATGCTTTCAGTGTCTCTTCTTCTGTCTCTCCAAAGTCTTTCACAGATCTTCAGCACAAGCCTCTGCTCGTGGACCTGACGGTGGAGGAGGGTCAGAGGTTAAAGGTTATCTATGGCTCCAGCGTTGGTTTTCACGTGATAGATGTCGACTCTGGGAATCCGTACGATATCTACATTCCGTCCCACGTAAGTGATGACAGGCCGAGCGGAGGCAGCTCTCCCCTCCTTACCCTGATCCTAAGGGACTTTAAATAGGACGACTCCTCTCCGGGGACACTGGGATGCACTGTAGTGTTGATGTCTGTATCACATATGTGCCTTTTAATTACAGACAGGGTCCAAATTTAACACTAAAACCAAATGCAAGTAAAACCTGGCTTTGATGAGAAAAATAAAATGCTTCCCAATTGGGTGGTAACTTTTTAAGGACTGTATGTATGTGTGTGTATAGTTAATTAGTTATTTATTTATACATACACGCATATATATTCAAAACAATTGTCTTTTAATAACATTTTCCTCAATGAAAAATAATAAGTTTCTAAGCATAATTTATTATAATAAATGTATCTTATTAACTTTTTATTAGCTTAATAAAGTACTTTGAAGGTATCGTTTTGTGCATTTATCCAGAAAGTAAAATATATGTCTAAAATATACATTACCGGTCAAACGTTTGGAATAATGAAATGAATGTCGCTTATGCTCACCAAGGCTGCATTTATTTGATTAAAAAAAATAAGTAAAAACGTAATATTGTGAAATATTATTACAATTTAGTTTTCTATTTTAATATATTTAAAATGTAATTACTTGCTGTGGTTGCAAAGCTGAACTTTTAGCAACAATTACTTCAGGAATCACAATATTACTGTTTTTACTGAATTTGCTGACTTCTTTCAAAAAAAAAAAAAAAACATTAAAAAATCTTATTATTCCAAACTTTTAAAGTGTTGTGTAGGAAAACTCAAACATGATGTGCTTTTGTATACAATGCTGCCACAATGACAATAGCTATTTTTCTTTATACAATATTTATTTTAAATATAAATAAGAATAAATAAATGTAATTAATAATAATGAATATATATATTAGTAATAAAAACAATTCAAAATGCAGTTTCATGGTCTTAAATGAAAAAAAAACCCAGAAAGTTAATTTTGGACCCTGATTACACCATTTAGAGCAACACGTATGAATGTTCTGTGTGCAGATGAATGGTTTTGAAGTTCATTACGCTGCACGTAACTGACATTATTGTTCAAGTGTGATAGAAAAGTATCTTTAATGTAAGAAGAAAACATGTCCCCGATCTCCGACCTTTGACAAACCAAACACGTACACGAACCAAAGCAGCCAAACCGTTCCAATGCCCCATGGTAGCCCGTTAGCAGGGCGCTTTTGGGCTCAGGCATCGTGCGGTCAAGCGGAGGGCAGGAGTCTCGATTGTTGCAGCAGTTTCTCGAAGGGAGAAGCTCTGGCCACCCTCAGCACGAGACATGACTGACAGGGCCGCCCGGGGGAGGGGGTAGAGCGTCACCTAGTGGGGAATGTTTTGCACTACGGCTCGTTTTTGTCACCCCAAGGCTCATCTGCGCCCACCCCTCCCTTCCCAGATTCAGGGCAGTGTTACCGCTCACGCCATTGTGGTGCTTCCCAAGACCGACGGCATGGAGATGCTTCTGTGTTATGAAGATGAGGGAGTCTATGTGAACACATACGGCAGAATCACTAAAGACGTGGTGCTCCAGTGGGGAGAGATGCCCACCTCTGTTGGTAGGTTTTGGTTGTTTATTTCACACAAAACGCTCCTGTTCTCCTTCTAGAGCCCTGATGGCGGTCTGAGAGCACCTGACATGTCCCCGACACCCCTCAGAATCTGAATCGGTCCTCTCACACAAACACGCATGTCTTTGTCCACTCATTACTCTTCTGTCTTTTCTGTCCCTCATTTAACTAGACTATTTAGCGCTTTTCTGCCCATGTAATCTGCCCTGTGCTGCCCCCACTGCACCCCATCCTGGCCCACCTAGACTAAACCCTGACACAGAGTGAAATGTTTGTCTGTATGTCTAGCACATCTTGTGTACTGTTTTGTTTACCCAGTATAAGTCTTTGTTATTAATAACCTTTAACTGATTTCCTTTCTGAGCAAAAGCCCAAGAAATGGCCAAGGTTTGATACTTCATACTTGGGTGAATCTCACAAAACATGTCTGGGTCATATTCCACCTTAATATCAGAATAAAGACAATTTTAAGCCCATTTTAGGACCGTGTTTAGCTATTATCATTTACATATGCAAATGGGAAAAAATGTGTTTAATTAAAAAAAAATTGGCTTGATTTTCATGCAGAAACATAATTTCTTATTTCTTCCTTTTGATTTTAATTTGAAAAGTGATCTGTTTCTTGAGATTTACACAAAACTAAATGTTTTCCAGTCAATATATTTAAATTGACTTTGCTTTAAGAAAATCATTAGAGGCAGTTTTAGGACATTACAGTGTTTTGCTATTCTCATTTGAATATGCATATGCAAATAGAAAATGTGTTTAATTGTCATTTAAAAAGGTTTCACAATGCAAAAAAATCTTGGTCCTAAGATATGCTTGTTTTTTCCCATGCAAAACAATTATTTTTTGCTCTTGATTTTGGGGTGGAATGTGACCGGTATTCTTGAGATTTACTTAAAACTATTTTTTTTTTCTATTCAATTTGGTTCAATTTATTCTGATTGAAGAAACTTATTAGAGCCCATTTTTAGGATCCTTAAGATTTTTTGCATTCTCATGTCCTTATGCAAATGGACAGATGTGTTTAATCATCATCAAAAATGCTTTCACAAGAATCACAACACAAAAAATCTTGGTCCTAAAATATGCTTGATTTTTCTTCGTGCAAAAATATAATTTCCAATGTTTACTCTTGATTTTGGGGTAAAATGTGATTTTTTAAATGTAGATTTACCCAAAACTAAAACTTTCTCTCCAACATATTTAATTTTTTTACATTTAACCAGGACAAAGAGACCATCATCAGTTTCAGTGTAATTCTTGTTGTCTTTTTAGATGTACATTTTGGTGTCTTCCAACTCTTGCTTTACTACAATCATGCATATGTCTCTAAAATTAATTTCCAGCTTTAATGTTTGTTTGTATATGTGTTTTCATCTCTCATCTGTGAAGAATGTTAATGTTATGATTTAGATGTCTTTTGTTGGCTGATACTGAGGGTTCAGATGTAGACCAGCAGCCGCCCACACCCTCAGTTCTAAACAAATTAATGTTTCAGCCAAATTATGTTCAACTCTTCAGTGATTCTGCACTCATAACAAAGTAAAATTCATAACTCGTGCATTTTCTACACAAGATATCAGCAGAAAAAGGAAGTCAAAACAACCAGATCATTATTATCTCTATGAAGGTCTCTAAATCAGCCACAGAAAGTCCTCGGAGAAAGTTCATGTTAGTTCATGAGTATCCAAAGAACTCTGGATTTGGATACTAGTTCCTTGTACTTGATGGCAAAAGGATCTTTGACTAATAATAACCATAACCACTGGTACTTCAATCCTGATTTTAATTTGTGATGCTCAGAAACTGCTGCAATAATGACCTCCTGGTGTGGGGTGGCTTTGGCAGGCTTGTTTTCATTGGATCTGGGCTAGTTTGGAGTTGCTGTTGGACGTCAGAAGTCGTTGAGGAACGGGGTGTTCTGATGATATACTGCATTTGGTGTCAGCGCTCTCCTGTCATATGTTTCTTTTGTCTTTTGTATATATTCGCTTCCCCCTCCCCTTCTGCAGCCTACATCCACTCCAGCCAGATCATGGGCTGGGGAGAGAAAGCCATTGAGATCCGCTCCGTGGAAACGGGACACCTCGACGGAGTTTTCATGCACAAGCGAGCACAGCGACTAAAGTTCCTTTCGGAGAGAAACGATAAAGTACGTTACCACGATGATACAACTTGCCCATGCATGAACTTAATATAATTTTTTTTTCTCTCATTTTTTGGTAGTTAACAATGTTTCAAAATTAAAACACTTCATCTTTAAATTATGCTAGTCTTTTTTTGTTTTTCCAGGTTTATTAATTTTTTTAATTATTTATTTTTTGGTACAATTAACAATATTTCAAATTTAAACACTTCACCTTTAAATTATGTGAGTCTTTATGGGCCAGTGACATGACGCTCATTTTGTTTGTCTTGATTTATTAATTTATTAATTATTTTATTAATTTGACTTTTTCTCTCATTTTTAGTACAGTTAACAATATTTCAAATGTACACTTCTAGACGTTATATTTGTTTTTATTTATATATAATATTCAGTATTCAAAAATCTTTGAATCCCTTTTTTTTTTACCTTGACTGCTTCAGACTTTTTTTTTGAAAATAATGATCAAGATATGTATATTCACATAATGTAATCATATAATCAACATTTAAAATGAAATATAAGAAAATTTAAGGAAAGTGTGAAGTTTATTTTTATTTTTATACTACCATGACATTTGTTAGCTGTTATAGTATCTGATATTCTATTATAGTTTTATTCATATTTCAAATTAGTTATTTTTATATTTTCCACTTGATTTTGATTTTAAAGTTTTGTTTTTTTGTTATTTTTAAACTTTTTTTTCTTATTTTATTAGAGATATTATAGTACATCAAGTTAAAAAAATGAAAATGAGAAATATTGCCTTGGTAAAAATACCAAAATAAAAATAAAATACCTGAATGTACGCCTGAATGGAAATAGAATGTAGTCAGTCACCTAAGGCACTAGATTGTAACAGTTTGGTCCTTTAAATGTGAATAACAGGCAATATAATAACGTCCATTCCTCCATGTGGACTCTTCTTTTTTTGCAGGTGTTCTTTGCCTCAGTCAGATCCGGAGGCAGCAGCCAAGTTTTCTTCATGACCTTGAACAGAAACTCCATGATGAATTGGTAATTCATCCCCGCCCATCCCTGCATTGTATCTATGGACCTATTCTACTTTATTGAAAAGTGTGAAAAAAGGAAAGACGGGAAAATCCAGGTGCGCTGGATAATCTGGCAGACTGCAAAAAGACCAAACCTTGCTGGGACCTTCTCAAAAGAGTCAAAGACAAACCCAAAATCCGCACGTCCCCACTAACCAAAAAAGGGGCGCCGGAGGAGAACAACTGGTCTGCATTATTTTTTATGGCTCTTTCATTAACATGCGTGGGGTTCTGGTGTTTTTGTCGTTAAAAATCTGTGTCTAGATTCTTCTGGAGGTCAAGACTGGAAATATGGGGAATAAGACCCACAGAGTAGAGTGAATATTTGTACTGTTAAGATACTTTTTGACAATTTATCACGGTTGCGCTGAACGTCAGTAAACCTCCCTTGTGGGATGAATCCATTGAGGCTGGTTTGTGTGATCAACGTCATTTCTTTTTTATGTTTCAGCTTGGAATGCACACAGATGTTTGTGTCATATGGATATCACTCGAATGTCTGATATTTAAGACTTGTCTGATACTTCGCCACATTACGTTGGAGCAGACACACTTTGGGCTGTCCACAGAATGCCTTAAATATGAATTCGCAAAGCTGCTCGTTTTTATTTTTTAAGTCCATGATATATTGATGTTTATGCATATTTCTGTAAGGAAAGGAAAATGCTACTTTTTTGGATGGAAATTGATGCCTGCTGATATGGACGTATAATGGAAATATATATATTATCCTGAATATTCATACTGTGCATTCCTAGTTTTAGCCCAAAGCTCTATAGTATTCACATTTGGAACCTGTGGTTTGGCACTGTTTTCCTTGTGCTCAGGGAGATGGTGCTGTAGATCAGACCTTTTTCCATTCATTTCCATTGTCTTTACAACTTGTGTTACGGGTATTTTGGCAATTAAAGGGATAGTTCACTCTAAAATTAAAATTATTTTCTCATATACTCATCCTCATGATGTTCCAAAACTGTATGACTTTCATTCCTCAGTTACACACAAAAAGAGACATTTAGCAGAGTGTTCGAGCTGCTCTCTTCCATACAATGAGAGTAAATGGTGACCAGAAGCTGTCAAGCTCCAAAACATCATAAAAGTAGTCAGTGTTGACTATATTTCTAGTTTCTGAAGAATCCATATGATGTTTGGTGTGAGGAACAGGCTCAAAAAATCCTACTTGACAACTCTGGTCACAAATAACAGCCTGGACATTGACAAAAAAGTTGTAGACAAAAAAGACAATAAGGCAAGTCATTTTGGGGTGAATTATTCCTTTAACTGTTTTTACTGGCCCTATGAGAACATTTGAGGGTGAAGCTGGTCTGCAGAGATGATTCTTGAACGCTTTATCACAGTGCTAAGAAACAGTCTGAATACTTCAACTGATTGGTAAATACTACAGAGCTTTCTATTGAAACATAAAAAAGTATGTTAAGATTCTGTTTAGAGTATCACAGTTTCTTTGTAAGAGTGTGTGTATGTGAATGAATGATGAAATATAATGCTTTCCACCAATGATACAAAAAAGTAGATATGTTACCATTAACATACCAGCAATCTCAGTTGTTTTCATATCAGGAGTAACACGTGTTATTAGGATGTACTGCAGTTTTGTATTTTTTAGTTTGTTTTCTCTTGACTTTCAGTAAAGTGCAATAAAGGCAAAGGGAATTGAGCCTGGTGAGTCGATTGTTCACCTCTCCTCGCCAACTGTTTCTAGAGGGACGTTCACGACCACCTTCTGTAAATATCCACTTCCGTTTTGGAAAAGAGTCCCGCCTCCGAATCTAATGCATAGGAACTGTGAGGGTGTGACAGAAATGTGCGATGCTGTTTGTGGTTCTGTAAGATCCACCTCCTCCTCTGTGTGAATCACATGAATCAGTGAACGAAGGGTAGTGTTTTGTGAGTAGAGCTTCCTTTTAGGCTACCTCGTTTCTGTTCACCTGGACCGGTTCAGTTTTCTATGTGGGTAATGATTATTGATGCCGTAAATCAAACCTTTGTAAGTGACACAGTGGAGGGGTGTCATTCCATGTAGACTGAGAGGTGATTTGAGTGTGGAGTGCCAGACAGAAATATTCACAAATGGACGCTTTAAAAATAAATAAATAAATAAATGAAAAATCTTGGTGCAATGTCTTGTAAAACAGCCAAATCAAGCCTACACTTCATATTAGGGTGATTCTTCAATTAGGCCAACTTTTCAGTACCCAAGGATGATGTTAAAGGGAAAATCTTAATTTTTTTTTGTAATTTTTTTTTTTTGTACAATTTCATTTTTATAACTTTTTTAAATCCAGTACTACGGTCATCACCACCATGCCAAGAATCGTATTTTATCAATTAATTTAAAGATTTTTACATTAGATTATTGTAATTTATTTTATTTTTTTTAGAACAAGCACACAACTTTATTCCCATTATTTCAAAATCTACTTGAAAGTTTCAAAAATATCGTATATATATTGTAATTTATATTAAACAGTTCAATGACGTTGCATTTTTAGGATTACACGTACTCAAAAATGCCTCGAACTGCAGAATCGCCCATTAATAGACCTGAAGGCCTTCCAAATGATGCGGAAGAGTGTGAAATTCACCTGACACAACTAGGATCTTTTGAGACTTCATGTTTTTGTCCATCAAACTGTGAACTGAGTGGATGTGTGTGTGTGTGCAGGTGTGAAGTACTTATTTGGTCTTCCCATTAATTTTATCAACACAATTGTGAGTTCGGTTGATTTCTTCATCTCTCATGCACCACCTTTAGTGGTGGAAAGTCTTTTGATGTGTGCTTGACCTAATTTTCTTTCTTAATATGGACATTAATACTGTAAGTACATCCTTTATATTCAGGCCGAGTGAGTTGTTGTTTTATTTCTGTATTTCTCTTATTTTTCGTGTATTAAACTTTGAGATTTATAGCACAACCGAGCATTCTGGATATTGGCTGCATGTTATTTATTTTTTTTCCGGTGTGTGTGTGTGATTTAAACATACCATTTTTATTTTTTAAGTCTGTAAAACCACCAGTTAAAGACATAATACAGGCATTCTGACACTAAAATGAGAAAGATTACAAGCCTTCTGTTATAGACATTTGAAGCTGAAACTGGGCATATCATGTTTTGTTCACAAAATATGCAGGCTGTAGTATTTTATAAATAGATTTTTAATGCTATTAAACTAGAGTTTTGTTCCAAATGTAACTTTAAATGTAGCTTGGACTTTTAAGAGATGGTGATCTCATCTAATCTGAGCCTAGTCCTTGTAGTTGGTGTTACATTTTATTGCTTACAATTTATTACATATTATAAATCAAACAAACAACAAAGTCACTCAAATCCCTTTTGTGTCATCTACAAAAAAGCTGAATCTTCTAAACCTAATATTTTATGGTCGTAAAACTTTTTACAATCCAGTTTTCTTGATATTCTGATCCATTTTATTTATTGTTTTGTACAGTGCATTAATGCTGGTATCTCATTGTATTTAGAAAGCAGCAGTATTATTGCTGTTTATTTTTTAAGGGATTGATTATTTTAGCTGTATTATTGATTAGTTTGAAAGAACTATGAAATCTATATTATAATGTCAGAGATGCTTTAATGAGTGCTTTATTTAACTTGTTTGTTTTTTATTATAAGTTGTTGGTTTGTTTTCTTATTTTAATGCAGTATTGTTCAATGCTCTTTCCTTATAAATTAAATTCACCCCTGATAACTGCAAACATGTTTTAACAGGGTTGTTTGTGGATCTATTATAGTCTTGTTAATCAATATTCAGTGTGTTTATGTTTAAAGAGGAACATCACAGAGAGAAGACTGCATATCAATTGTGATGGCAAAGCAGGTTGGTGGATCAGTCTAGAAAAGTTATTAGCAATAATGAGCATTACTGATTTTGTCAGTCTTCATGTTAGACCCTTTTCTACTCTGACTGAAACTCCAGTTTTTGATCTTATTCAGATGGAGTCAAGCGTTTCTGAATGAGAAGAATGTGAAATGGATAAATGGAAATATTTTAGATTTTGGAAACTCACCCATTGTGTTCACTTGTCACCTAAAACAGTCAGTTTCTTTGCTTTTTAAAAAAAATAAACTGACACATCGAACCAGACCATGTGTGCTGTTATACTTTATTTTTATAATAATTTATGTAATATTATTTTATAATTATAAATGAAATTATATATAAAATATAAAATAGATTGTATATTTTTATAATAATAATAATGCATATATTGTGTTTTGTCATATGCATTCTGGATGTTTGTTATACAAGTCTTTTTAATGAGTGTAATCTTTAAGATGTTCGTTTAAAGGTCCACTGCTCGAAAGCCGTTGTGTAACTGGAGTTTTGACTCATTTATAGAGTATATAATTTCTGTTATATTATTATATTGTATATTTTTTATTACTTGATTGAAATAGCCTACAAAATATGCCTCTCTCTCTTTCTCTCTCGTCAGCCAAAAGATTGGAATACGTTTTTGAAAGAAGTCTGTACCAAGGCTACATTTATTTAAAATACTAATATTGTGAAATATTATTACAATTTTAAATAACTGTTCTATTTTAATATATTTTAAAATGTTATTTCTTTTTTGTGATGGCAAAGCTGAATTTTCATCAGCCATTACTCCAGTCTACAGTGTCACTCATGACTCTTCAGAAATCATTCTGCAAGCATGAACTTAATTATTCTTACCTTTTGGCTGGTAATGTATATATACCTATGACTCATATGATATATACATACTGGCTGAAATGTCATTTGAAATTAAAGCGGCACTATCACGATCCTAAGCGCTGTGAGGCACTAAGCACACACTTTAGTGTCCGCAGAAGAAGAGGAATCCCGCCCACTGTACGGATGCCGTATTAAAATTGGCCGCGCATGCGTGTTGACGTTCCTTTTTTTTCTTGGAAGTAAGTGCTGCATGGAGCGTGTTCGAGCTGTGACGAAAAATTACACAGACCTTTCCTGTCTCGGTGTTGTCTTTAAAAGGCTGTCGGGCTTGAAAGCGTGTGTCTTGCTGTTGAACGTAACCGGGTCGTCTTGAGAAAGCGTGTTGCGGTGGTTCTTTAAGGCGGCTTGTGGAGCGGCTCTCTAGTTTGCAGGCCGCGAGCAAGCACTGCACAGCGCCGCACGCGGGAGGCCTTTCCCCGCGCGCAGTGACTTGACTGAAAAAAGGCACGTGAGAAACTTTGGCTAAACCGCACGAGAGCCTTTTCCTCCGCTTTGTTACGTTATAGTTATCAGTCGTGGTCGTTGTTATATTGTGTGTTTCAAATATTTAGTTATACGGAAGAATGGGGCGTTAGCCTCTTAGCCGAGTCATTGATCAGCGGCGAAACCACGTTGACGTGCGCCACGCGAATTAGACCCGTTTCGCGCGGTTTACTGTTCGTTTTTTCTGTGAACAGTGACGTTGAATTAACGAGTTAATCCGCTTATTTTATTTTTAGTGAGTGTTTCTGGTTAAGGCGGTATAATTTACATTAGCATAACGTACCTAGCCCAAAGAGAGTCCATCTGGCCTGGTTCGGCGTGGTCTTTGTGTTCATTGAGTGCAAAATAATGGCTGTAAAGTGACATTTGAGGCTAGTTAAGTATTTTAACCACACATTTGATAACAAAAACAACTGTTAGCTGACGTTTGATCGTTTATTTGGATCGGATCCGTTATGTGGTAGAATTGGTAGCATGATGCGGCAGGTTTGGGTGCTAATGCACACAAAAAAGAATCGATTTATAGTAAACTGCATTTTATCTTATCATTTTATCTAACTCCTACAGTGGAAACTTTGCTCATTCGCACGCGACTTAACCATGATGTTCTTATGTGATGGAGACTTTTTTTTTTTTAATTCAGTTAAAACGTACTAATTCCCCACATGTCCCCCTCCAGTGCCCCTTGTTTAGATCCCCATCATGGCAGATCCAGATCTTGATTTCACCAGCGGAGATGCCGGGGCTTCAACCACTTACCCCATGCAGTGCAGCGCCCTGCGCAAGAACGGATTCGTGGTTCTGAAGGGTCGTCCCTGCAAAATTGTCGAAATGTCCACTTCTAAAACTGGCAAGCATGGTCATGCAAAGGTAATATTTTTGTCTCACTTTTGCATGGCTGTTTTTAACCACCTAGTGTTAGTTATTAGTGTTAAGTGCTCCAGTCTTTCTTTGCAGGTTCACATGGTTGGAATTGATATTTTCACAAATAAGAAGTATGAAGATATCTGCCCCTCCACCCACAACATGGACGTGCCTAACACCAAAAGAAATGACTACCAGGTGAGATGTGCATGGCTTTGAGAAATGCAAGATTTAAGCTTTTTTTTTGTGGGAGTTCATGTACCTCATTTACCCTAAAGTTCTCCTGACCGGTAGTTGTGCATAATAAAGGCAAACTTTGCACAGTCTCCAACATGGTGGCTTTTGTCTGTTTATTTAGGATTTAGAGGTCACTGCTTTATTGTTCCTGATTGCATTGAACAATGTTTTGGTCACTTTAATTAACTGGAATATTAAATTTGCTTGTTTTAGGTAAGGTGAAATTTAAATGATCATTGTTTTGCTATGCATTTGGAGAAAAATTACAGACTTTTTGGGCTCTGCTTTTGATTTATGCTTTAATTTTAGTATGTCCCAATCTCATATTGTATATAATATAAATTATATAAAGTTATTTATGCATTTAAAATATTTATACATAGTATAATGCATGCGCGCACATATATATACGCATACATACATACATGCATACATGTATATATACATAAACACACACACACACAAAGTTTACATTAACTTATTGGTTCATTGCAGCTTGTCGTGCTGATTTTCTTGTACTTCGTAGTGAGGTTTTTTTCAACTTAATTGGTTGTCTAAGGAGAATATTTTCCACCAGGGCAATAAAGCGATGATACTTTAGCTTTTCATAATACTTTATTCTCTGATTTTAGCTAGATATTCTGTTTATTCCATTTCTTGTTCTTAAAAATAAATTTTTATCTCCTAGGTGGTTGACATAACCGAGGGGTTCCTCTCTCTTATGATGGACAATGGTGACGTGCGTGAGGACTTGCGTGTGCCAGAAGGTGACCTGGGCAAAGAAATCGAAAGCAAATTTGCAGCTGGTGAAGAGATGTTGGTAAGTGCACCTGTTTGAACGAATGCATTTAGTCCTTTAGCTGCTTTTTGTCATTGTAACCCACTCATTGTTTTCTTTATTTGGCAGGTTACTGTGCTTTCAGCTATGGGCGAAGAATCTGCAGTGGCTGTCAAACCCATGACCAAATAGGAAGAGAGACTGGGCTGCAACATGCTACACTTTAACAAATCTCTTGCATTTGTTTTTTTGGTTTTATTTGTCACCCAAGCTATGGCCTTCACAAGCAACCTCAAATTTTTTGTGATTGTGTTCCTTTTTTTTCTCCTTCCAATACTGTGCTGGACTTGTCGGGTCAGTTGGCATTCTCTCGGGTAAGAGGTTTAATAATGTCAGTGTTTACCCCCTCAACCTCCCCCTTTCCCCCACTTAAGTTTTTACCACTTACATTCCTGAATGTTAAATGATGGGATCCATTTATCCTTTTTTGTATTCTTGAATTTCTTAAAAGTAATTAGTGTGCAGGATTTACGCAAGGTGTTGCGAAGAGAGCAAACCCCCAACTGACACTGAACTTTTTTTTCCTTCTCCCTCTTTGGGTGCCGTACTTTTACTTTTTCTCCTTACATGATCTATGCCATGCTGGCACTATAGTTAATTCTTCTCAATTGAATGCCCCCCCCCCTCCTCCCAAAGTGAGATGCACACTGGTAGTTGGCACTTCCTTGTACCTGCAGTACTTTAAAAGTACCTTCTCAAGTAATACCGCTATGACAGAAATAAACTCCAGCAAAATGTCCCCTTAAATGCCAGTCTCTAGTTGTTCAGAAGTGGAAAGGATGTGATGGCCATGTGCGAATACCTCTGTAACACAATAGCAGCCAGCTTGATTTTTGGCTGTCATTGATGACCTTAAATAAAGTGTTGAAGCCTGTATTTGTCTCCAGGTAGGCTCTTATCAGTGCTGCTCCAGAATGAGCTTGAGGACTAAATCTTTGTGAGTTCTAATCTTCCTTTGTTCACTCGAGGCCTTTGTCACCTTGACTGGAGAGAGCAAAAAATTAAAACTTAATAGATCCAGAAGGCTGGTTAAAGGTGTTTCTTCATAGTTACAGCAGATTTTCATCTGGCAAAATTGAACACATGAGAATTTATCACAGACTATGGTGAATGAATGTCCTACTTGCGTAAATTCAGGAAAAATTACCTAGTGTAACTTGTCTGATCAAGTTAGAATTTTAGATTTGGAAAAAGGTGCTCATATTATATAAATAGGAAGTGTCTATTTTGATGGTGTGATTTTGTTTTTCATCATAGCAGTGTTTGTGTTCTGAATCTAACAAAGTAAAATAATGTATACATTTTTATATTATACATGTATAAGAACGTTTCTTTAACATCCATTGTATGCTTTTAAATATTAAATTAAAGAACTTAAATAAGGGCAAAATGACATGGAACATAATTTTAGAAATTGAGGACAGTAACTGGGAAGAAAGACAAAGTTTTGTTGGGTTTGGCTGCCAAAGCGTCTGCATGGGTGGAGCCAAACGCTCATTTCCTATTTGTGGCTGTGTGCCCAGACAACACTGACTGAATGAATGAAAGTATTGCAGTTCATTATTGGAGACATGTGGCACTGCAGTCTATTCAAACATAAACTTCATCTAACTGGCTCCAACTGAGTGCTTTTTCAAAGTGAATTGAATGTTGATTCATATCTTCATGTCAGTTAAAATGGATTAGTTTCCAGTTTTGCTGTTGTGTCGTTGAGCGACACTAAACTGAAGATTGTATTTAAACAGGAATATGTGCCTATTTAAATTTGTACAAGAGTAGAAATCTGCCCAATAAGTGGCAAATCAGGTTGTGCCCATATGCTTGCTGAAGCCTCACCCAGTTTTGTCTTGGTATGTCTGCACAATGATGTAAGGATGAGTCATGCTTCCCTAGTAGGTAAGCAGAGCCCAGGCTCTCCCTTCTAACTCTATTGAGTGTGTAAACATGTGAATGTTTGAATAGCCTGTTTGTGGTTATTTTCATGTTAATTGAATGTTAAGCCAACTACATCCATATACACTAATTACTAAAGAGCCATGCAGCAGGTCTATGTAATCAATACTAGAGACTGCAGAAAATATAACCTGAAATAAAATCACTGATTAAGTTCGTGTGACAAAAGGCATGTGGATTTGAAATTTTTACACAATAATACATTTTTTAAATATTGTACAAATATAACTGCATCCAAACCGAACAATTTCCGTGAATCCGCTCTTTCGGTCAGTTCGGTTTAAAGAACCGGTTCAAAAAACGGATTCTTTTACATCAGACAATAATTATATGCTTTTACCTAACGTGGCATATATCACAATAATAGATTCACATGTGGGTACATTTTGTTGTTAAAAGTATTTAAAACATTATTAATTGGGGCGTTTAGTTTCTGCAGCTCTGATTCTGAAACATAAATCCATTTATAAATGAAATATAATTTGTATTGACATTAAACAAATTCATTTTAATCTCGTGACAGAAAATTCTCCGTTTCGTATGTTTTGATAAAATGTAACAATCAAATTTCCAATGCGTTTTGATCAATGATCAATCTTTATTACAGACTCAAGGTCCAAATTAAACCGTTTTATTGTAACGTTCTGCTATTTAGTTATTAAAGTAACTTACTTTTCGCCCCGTCAGTCAAATCTTCAGTACGAATTGTTCAGATCGGTTATGTTGCGTTCAACTGATTAATTCAAAAGATCCGACTCATTCAAAAGAACGATTCATTCACAAATCGGACCAAAAAGTCCTCAGGAATCCTCCCTAACCGGCAGCCAATCAAATGCGAGAACATTTTGTGAACTCTTGCGCGGACATACGCCACTTCCTCTTTTACGCCAACCTCGTCAAGATGGCACCGGTATGTGTCGCCCGGAGAACGGTCTTTATGGTTAAATGCATTTTAGTTTTTGTTTTGTGTGATTAAAATATCAGACATATTACGTTTATATGTACTACGTTACCTAGAGATAGTTTTTGCAAATGGAATAATATATTATCTAATTAGTTTGACTTACTGCTGGGAGACACGTGGATGAGCATTTTAGCATGACCGAACCATTCAAGTTGACTCATTACAATTGGTTATCATTATCATTATTTGGTTATCGTTATGAGAGAGAGTATTACAGTAGTGCGTTTCATTTTGTGGTCATTTGTTTTTATAAGAGTAATGAGTTTATAAGGATATACAAAGTATGAGTGAAGTATTACTCTGAACAAGCAGATGCTTAATTTAGTATTTATGTATATATATATATATATATATATATATATATATATTTGTTTCTTTAGAAAAGGCAGACTGTTGTGAAAAGGAATAAAAAGGGTGCTTCCTGGAAATTCACCCTGGATTGTACTCACCCAGTGGAGGATGGGATCCTTGACTCTGCCAACTTTGTAAGTTGTATAAAAAAACTATATTTGATTATAGAAACACATGGCTTCTATTCATGGTCAGGGTTCTTGTGGGCATGGAAAGCCTGAAAATGTTATGAGAATTTCATTTCCAGACGTGGTATAAAATCATGAACATTTCTGTACTGAAATAAAAAATCTGTTTGCATTGGCTAGAAATCAAATGAATGTTTTATTTGTTCTTGTCAGAAATATCTATACATTAAATTTAAGTTCCTTTAAATCTATTAATTTCTGATCCAAAAACATGTTCGTTTTTTAAAAATAAAGTATCCTTTAACTCTGCATTTTATGTTCAGGTAGTCACATCCCTAACACTGTGCCATAACTAGGGCTCTCTTCCCTAGTTAAATGCCTAGGGTTCTCTTCCCTAGTGGTCATGCTGTTTTATTACTAACAGGAAACCTTTCTGAAAGAGAAGGTGAAGGTTAATGGCAAAACAGGCAACTTGGGAAATGTAGTGCAAATTGTGCGTCAGAAGAACAAAATCAGCGTCACATCAGAGAAGCACTTCTCTAAAAGGTGAGATTTGTTTCATCAGCAGGCTGCTGTTTATTATTAGTGTTCTTTTTATAGGCTTTGTGTCTTTACTAAAAACCCCATGTTCCTCAGGTATCTTAAGTACCTCACAAAGAAGTACCTGAAGAAGAACAACCTGCGAGACTGGCTGAGGGTGGTGGCGTCGGATAAGGAAAGCTATGAGCTGCGCTACTTCCAGATCAGCCAAGATGAAGAATCTGATGATGAATGAATGGGTGTATCAGGGTCCTGCAGAAGTGGTCACATCTTCAAATGCAGGACTACACATTTTGATATGTGCTTGTAAATAAAAAGATACACACAGAAATTAAGTGTCATGTTTTCAATGATAGTAAATGCTTTGTAATGGGGTTGATTTATAATCAAGATGGAACAAGGGTAAGAGAGTTAAATAAGATTCATTAACAAACATGTTGCTGCCAGTGGTGTCTAAGAGAGATTATTTTGCAGTGATGAAACAACCTGTTAATCATTACAGTAGTAACAATGCAACTGTATTTGCAATATTAAATGAGGCAGTTGCTTTCTCAGCTATGAAGATTAACATAGGTATATTTTAGTTTTTTTTTTCAAATGGTACCTTATATTTTTAATGTCATGAATGTTAAGATTTTTTAGAAATTTTGTGTAAATGTTATGATCAAACATTTAAGATCTTTTTATTAAAAGCATTTAATAATTCCTGAAGACACTATTAGAAGTTAAAGAATACAGAGCTCATTTGTTACTTTTTTTTTTTTTTATAGCATCAGGAAATGGTGCAATAACTAACTACTTTAATCTTTAAGAATAGGATTATAGAGGCCATATTCAAATGTTATTGGTTGAACTTTCAGTTGAAGAAAAATATAAAACAAAGACAACAGGCTGGTTTGTTATAAAATAAAGTGAATATGTCCAGTAAGCCCATTATATGTTACATATGCAACACTTTTTTTTTTTTTTTACCGATCAGTATGTTGTTTTTGATATATAATATATATACAATAATAATAATAATAATAATATATGCATACAGTGGTTTTAGAAAAGAATCACCCCCACAAAATCTGTGGAATGACTTGAAGACTGCAGTCTACAAATGGTCCCCATCAAATTTAACTAAACTTGAGCAGTTCTGCAAAGAAGAGTGGGCAAATATTGCAAAGTCTAGATGTGCAAAGTTAGTAGAGACATATCCCAACAGACTAAAGCCTGTAAATAAAGCAAAAGGTGGTTCAAAATACTGACACAAGGGGGTGATCCTTTTTCCAACCGATTCTTGTTTTTTAATATTTTTTCAGAGGGGTTGTTCATATATGATTCTTTAATTATTATTAATTAATCTTAAATTTTTTTCCATTTTCATCTGTGGTGCCTTGCCTTAAATATTAAATAAAGTTTGATTTTAAAACTATTTTAAACTATGGGTACCTGAAATGCTTTCATGCTCACATTGAGCCACAGCTATCCCTGGCAGTGATATTGATCTCCCAAATCTTAACGTCGTTAACTTTTGAAGTTTAATCTCACATCGATAGCATTAAGTTTTATCTTTAACATGTTCTTCACCTAAGGTCAAAGGTTAGTGAAAATCTTATCAATAGACAGGTAGAGCAATAGAAACGTCTAGAATTAAATGCATTTGCATTGATATGGGTGACTTCGCTATAAAGTCCTTCACTTTGAAAGGCAGCCTGAGGTTAGAGCCTTCAGCCTGTTACCAGGATGTTATCTAATGCTCTGCACAGAGAAGAGACTGAAGCGATACCATGGACCAGCACTGGGAGGAAACGTATTAGACAGCGATTTCGTGCTACTTTGGCAGGGCTCCTGGAGTTGGAGGTCCTGAGAGTCAAACACAAAGTAATGGTGGAGACTGCCCTAGGAAAAACCAAAGTAGATCCTGAAGATTCAACATCAACAAATATCCAGCAAGGACAGCATCATTACTGGGTGGATAAAGACTCGTTCAGACTAAAGCTCAGGCGCAGTTTTTCTGAAGAGGCTGTTCACGAGGCTAGAAAATCCAGAGGACTTTGGTCATGTTCTAGTCATTCATCTGAAGACCTGCTTCATCATCATTGCCTGACAGAAAGAAGCTGGCATGACCAACAACTTCACTCGCACATGGAAAGTCAGTCAAGGGCAAGCTCAGGTTTTTGCGACAGCGACTTTGGGGATGTTTTTGCCCCCTCTGACTGTGACGATACCATCAGCTCTCTCTCCACCTCTTTGGTCTCCTTAAAATATAAGAACTCTCTCGGAGAGGGACAATATTTCATGGGCGAGGAAACTCAGAGGAGCCGACCCATTTTATTGCAAGAGCATAGAGGAGTTCAATCCCATTTCTCAGATGAGACGATTCCTGAAGATGGTTTCCGATCTGTGGCGAATCTATATCCAGACTCGCACTGGCCAGATGTTTCAGACATACTTCAACCCAAAGTTGTCTTGCAACCCACTTACCGTTCTGATCTTCCAGGTCAACAGGGCATGAAAGTGTATCGCTATCCTAGTCCACTGCATGCTGTGGCCCTGCAAAGTCCCTTATATGCGCCACAAAGCCCCCAGAACAACAGGAAAAAGAATGGAAAACATTTTTCCGCAAACTTTCCAAGCCCCTTACTGAGACCAGGCTTGAAGGTTTCAAAACATTCATGCTGTCTTGCAAAATCCACCTATTTATTATACAACTTACATATCAGTTCTTTGGGCAGCCACATGCACTTTGAGAAGCACAGATGTGAGGAGATCATTTTGAAACGAGCCAGAGTTCAATGCCACAATCATAGTGCTGCACCAAGAGATGGAAGGATGACCTCACGGCCAAAGACAGGCATGCACCGGACCAGCTCCTTACACAAAAACAAACCATCCTTCTATTCTTTTCAGTCCATGTATCTGCAGAGAAACAGGGAAGATGCGTGTGAGGCTGCAATGAGCACAGCATCCACCATGCAAGCTATGAAAAGGCATATACATTTATAGAACGTTACCATGAAACAAATACCTGCTTTGACCAACTTGATCATGTGCAACCAAGAGTCTTCAGAGGACTAGAAAGCTGCAAATTAAGGACATAACGCACGTGCAAAAATGCATCACAACAAGCGACACAAATATTAAACACTGTTAGTGATTAGGCTCATTATCTGTGATCATTCAACGTGATTTAATAGTGCATGTAAAAAAGTCTACCTCTGTGATTAAATCATTGTTATGTGGCATGTATGTTTTCGTATATTCTCTTTGTGAGAAAGCTCATCATATAGGTTAAAATTGGTTAGGACAAAAATACAGAAAATATATCAAAACACTTTTTTTGATCAGGTGCATCCGAAAATAAAATCACTCAACTATTTACAAAACTTTTTTTCCAGGTAAAATAAATGTTAGTATGAATAAATATGTATGTATTTTGTTCTGAATTCACGGTTCTTAAACGTTTTCAGTTGATATAAATTTAGGCTAAATTAGTGTGTCACAGAAATCGAGTTCATCTGAGGAGGTGAGGAGGTTTCTATTGCGATCATTATCGGTCAGTATACTGGCAAAGAGTCTCAAAAAATTACCTTAAATATTCCTCACACTGGTCTCAGCGCATGAATGTTAATCAGCCTATGATGACGTTGATTGGAAACTTCCGAGTGCTGACATGTGACCTGTTCAAGATCAACCCTGCATCTCACCCTGCGTTCCATTCGGAAGGGCTCATCCCTATGCCCTAATCCCTTCAGAGGGTTTACCCTGCGGAGTGAGAGCTTCGAAGGGATAAAGGGTGTAGGGGACCAAACAACTGTTTATTGAAGTGCCCTTCTGCGTTATCAGCATCACGTGCCCACACGGAGGCGCCGTCATCATGCAAAGAATCTGCGCAAAGGATCATGGGAGCCCGAAGTGTCCATCAGTTGTACCCTTCGAAATCCTTCATTCCGAAGGGCCCTTTGAAGTGGCCAGTTTTGAACACTTCGGTTTGGAACGACCCTTCAATATGGCGGCCATGATTGTTTTCACTCCGAAGGGCGATATATCCCGTTTGGAACGCACCGCTAATGTTCATACTATCCATTCTAAATAGTATGTGAGATTAGAAAAAGTGTGTCCCAAAGTATAGAATGTTGAAAAGAGTATGCCAAAAGTCCCCGGATGGTCTACTATTTCAGGTCGATTTTTGAAGTGTGGATCCATGCACACTCTAATGCAGTGATGGGCAAACTTGGCCCTTCCAGGCCACTTTCCTGCAGAGATTTGATCCAACCCTGATAAAACTCACCTGCCTGTAGCCTTCTAGTAGTCTTGAAGACAATGATTAGCTGGTTCAGGTGTGTTTGATTAGGGTTGGAGCTAAACTCTGAAGGAAAGTAGCCTGGAAGGGCCACGTTTGCCCACCCCTGCTCTAATGGCTAAAATTGCCCACAATCCATTGCGCTTTGGCGAAGGATTCGGTCCAGAACTACAAACACGAATAAAACGCGTTAGAAAAACTATAAAACATGGCGGATGTGCGCGACCGACGGTAGAGAGGCTTAGAAAAAGGGGTTTGAGTTACTAATAATCAACATTTAACCTGGTAAAAAAAAAAAAGTATTTATTGTTATTTGTATATTTCATCTGCAACAGCAATGTAAACTTTTATAAACATCCGTTTGGTCATTAACTTTTAAATGCATCATTATGCATAAAATATGAGCAGAGTTCTCGGCATGAAAGACCCGCGACTGGCAGATCAA